CCCGTCTGCAATATCTCACTTCTTACCTCAACATCTAAGGGTTAACTGTTTTATGAGCTCTTAACTGACTGCACGATGGTGGTTGTTGACGGAGTGTTCCACGTTCCCGAACCTAATTTCCTCTCCATCGCCGCGCGATTCCCTTACGCTTGAGAAATATTAGATTGTCTGAAAAGTCTCCGCCGATTTTTGATTCATCTTTGAGTAAAAATTCCTAGAAGAAAAAATCCATTGATTAAACGGTATATCCTCCATTCTGTTCAGTAAGAATTCGCCATCATCCTGTAAGTTTCAGTATCCCCATTTCATAGAAGGTTCCAGGCTTAAGACCGAAAAACCCTCTCAGGTGCTTACTGCAGCCCTCCAGCGGACTGAACGATTTTCCATTCAAAGAATTTTACAGAAACCTAAACAAGTGGTATTCTAATGGTGCTATGTCCGGACTATATGGTGGATGTGACAAGACATCCCCCTCAAGCTCCAGCAATTTTTGACGAGTGGCCAAAAAACATGTGGTCTGGAGATATCCTGTTGGAAGACAACGCCCTCACGATTGGTCAGTTCGGGCCACTTCTGGCCTATCGCTGCCTCCAAATTGTCAAGCAAGGTATAGTGCCTTTCAGAAGTTATCGTTTGGTTATGCGACAACAGCTCATGATTACGGTTTCCCTCCAAGCCCATCAGCATCACAGCATTATCTTCCGCACCTAGATTTTGACTTTGCAGCGGTCTGTGACGGCTCACTAGAGGGGCTCCACGATCGCTTCCGCTTCTTATTGCTGTACACAATCCAATTTTCGTCTCTCGTGCTCATGCGCTTTAGAAACAGCTCGTTTTTATTTTGTCTGACAAAGAGTCGCACATGGAGGCGCGGTCCATCACATTGCGCTCGTTCATTTCGTAAGGTATCCCGACATCAAGGCACTTTACAAAACCAAGGTCCAGTAGATGATCATGAGGTTGATGTCGGAACACTAGACCTCTGTCCTACTCTACGAGAAGTGCTGTGCCGATTCACTTCCGTTAACACTTTGATTTAGTTGTTTTAACTGATGATAGCCTCCTTCAAGGTTGCCTATCTTCGAGAGCGAATTCACTCTGCTTGGGTGTCGGAAACCGATCACGCACTGCGCGTATCTCTAGAAAATTGTCTAGCCAAACGTCGCAAATCTTTCTCGCGGCTTGAGACGCATTCTAGGCCTTGCGGTAGAAGAAAAGGTTCAGATACTGGAAATGCACAATTTTCACACGAGTCCTGTACTGAAAAACTTTGACAGATTTTGACAGAATCCCAACAGGAATATAGAGGAAGACATACTCTTCCATAAAACGTATAACTCTATAAAGTTAGGACCTTTATCTTTTGTACAACAGTTGATGAACCGAGGGTGTTAAAATGTGCGAAAACTTCTCGGACAACGCAATAAAAACTGACAACTCGCACTAAATGGAACCTCATGTGCCCTTCACTTCGAGCTGCCCTACTAGGTTTAAGGGGATCTATGGACGTATTCTGCGCAGCCATATTCGAACAGTCCCGCTTAAAGGCACTGTTAACAAAGAAGTAAGGGTACCCTTTTTTTGACGGTAATAGGTAGAACTACTTCAGAATAAAGCGATAACAACGAAAAAGCGCAAAAAAAAACGAGCAACAAAAAGTATTACATAGGGACAAAAAAAGTGCTAGAAAGTGGGGTTGGACATCTTTCACATTGGAAAACGGCGGTTAGGGAGTGTTCGAGCGAGAATGCACGAAGGCGACGCAGTGTCTGCAATACAGACAACACATCGAATTTAACGGAGTTTCTTAAATAAAAAAACATTTGCATGCAATAATCTACACAAAATATGTTAAAATCTTCAATAAATTNGAATGCTACCGTAAAAAATTCATAACAAAAAAAACAATAGAAATACAAACATAAAATAGAAATAACAGTTGAATACTAGCTCCTGTACGAGGCGGTCGACCAGCTGATCATTCCTGGCTATTTGCCAATCTGCGTATCGATTTTTCACCAGCTTCGCTCCAGTGCGAACGTGGTGAATGACAATTTTAACACGTAGTCAGCCTAACGAGGGGCGGAGGCATCGCGTCCCCCACTGTTCCTGGCCTTATTGTGCCCTATCCAGCCGTTTTCCGACCTAATTCCTGCACAAATGTTATCAGAGGGGGCTCAGAATTCTAACCATGTGCATATCTTCGAAACCATTTAGTCGTTAACAGTGCCTTTAATACAACCTTTAGAGCTTATCTTTCGCTGAACGCTCTGCCTGTCGCCCACCTGTTGTAAATACATCGTTATGCAAGGGGACTCTTAAAAGTGGGACTCGAGCTCGCGAGCGATGTCTTATTACTAAACTAATCCGACTACCCGATCACGATCTACCGTTGGTGCGCACTAACATAATAGAAAGATCGCAGATTTCCATGGGCCGCTTTCACCGTTACGGGGATGAGGAGGAATGTTGTCAGGACATCATTCGCCGGTTACTCGTACTTAATGCCCCTTCACAGTCTATTGCTATGGTAATATTTTATGAAGCTCCACAACAACTCCTGTCTCAACATGCGACTGAGCACGGTTCAGAGGCGTGAGATGTATACCACGCGAGCGACGGGGGCAGCGCTTGCCCCTTGTTTGCAATTGAATCTTGGTCGATACCGCTGGACGAGTAGTCCCCCATCACTCGCTCGCTCGCGGGCCTAATCGCGGACTATGAAAGCAGTCACTGCCGTGGACCAAGCGCATATCGTACGCTCCACAAGCAACTGCGGATGACCCGCCGCATGCAGCGCCTGCGGCGTGACCTAGTTTCGACGGACGTGCGCTACGAAGCGCACCCAAGACCTCTTCGATTACACTCCTCTTTCTCAAACGCACAGTTCACGAAAGAAAGGGCTACCGAGTCCCTCCTTCGGGAATACTCAGTGGCCCTTAAGGGTAATAGAAAGGATCCTCTCGCGCCCAAACACTCAACTTTTAGGGCATAGTGGAAGCCCTGTTCCCAGCTCGCGCGGCCTTCCCGCCCCTCGATCGATGTTACGTCAGGCAAGTGATGAGGCGACGTTTTCTCCCATTCTTTTCTTCTCTGTTATTCTTTTTGTACCGCAATCCCTTATTCAATTTCCTACCCCAATAGACTAAAAAGGTGAGTTATTCTTGTTGTTTCGAGGGTTTTTTGTTTACCTATGCTTATAAATGAATGAATTTATGCTTACCGTAGTCAGTTATTTGCACCAGGACCCACACGTACGCAATGACCCACACTGTATAGCTCGTCCAAACGCCCCACTGTTCTTTATTCTTCTAGTCTCATTCTCGTCCAACCCCCTTTTAAACGATTTTTCGAAGCTTTTTTTTTCTTCTTGAATACACCGATTCACGCAGTTCCTTCGCCTTCATCGCACTATTTTCCATCTTATCTTCCAATTTTCGTCATAATCTGGATTACCCACAAATATCGTGAACTGCGCCTTTAAGGGTGAGCATATTCTTATTGTCAATCACAAGCGATGGCAGGACGACAAACGGCCACTCGCACTGATGGCTTTTTGCTCAGGACGTCTTCCGCTCTGCGCTGCTGCCCGACAAACGACTTCATGGAACCCCACGACTGCTCGACCATATGACCTCTTTGTAACTTATTGTCGCTTTGTATCATGATGTGTACTTATTAGCCCTGTCTTTTCCTCTGGTAGCTGGATACACCGACATATAGGTTTTTATTCCCCTCGAACGGCGGTTCAAAAAGATCAAACAATAAGAAGGGGACCTAGTGGATGCTTTCAGACTTAAACGACCGACCGACCAACCGACCGACCGACCGGCCGACCGGCCGACGGCGCTCAATGACCACGTGGTGACAACACTGGCCAGTTGAACGCAATCTGTTCAAAGTCGCCACCACGTGGCTGTCGGTCGGTCAGTCGGTCGATCGTTGAAGTCCGAAAGCAACCAGTCGGGTCAACTCTGCCTATCACAGACCACATTTGGAGTACGCTGTCGCATAAGTGACGGGCGCTTTTTGCTGTCAACCCCGCATTTCGCCTGCGATACAGTCAATGTTCCGATATTTACATATGGGCTTAGCATCTTCCATTCAAGCTGCGTGCAGCCGACTCTCCACACCCCTATAGCTTCTTTCAAAGTTCTCCTACCGACGCCGCTGCTGGCCTCGTGTCGACAACGCTGGTCAGATTGCGTTCAACTAGCCAGTGTTGTCCCCACGTGGCCATCGAGCACCGTAGGTCGGGTCGGTCGGTCGTTGAAGTCTGAAAGCAGCCACTAGGTCCCACTCTTATTGTTTGTTCTTTTTAAGGCAACCATTCAAGAGGAACAAGAACCAAAATTATGTCGGGCAGTGTGGCGAGCATACTTGCTAGAGTGGCTGCTTCCATACTTCGGCGTGCGTGTCGGGCCGGCACGAAGGTAGAACATTGCGTGCGGTGTGCGAGCGTCTATGCGACGGCGGCGCTATCCAACTGTGTGACAGCAGTCATCCTCGATTTGCGGTATCGACCGGTACCCACTGATGTCACACAGTTGGATAACGCCGCCGTCGCATAGCCGCCCGCACGCCGCACGCAATGTTGTACCTGCGTTTCCACCTGCGTGCCGACACGCACGTCGAATTATGAACGCAGTCAGTAGGGATAGGGTTCGGGATAGTATGGCCGTGTTGCATCATTGTGAGGCGTTCTAGCCAGGACCCATAGCCGGATTACTGTAGTTAACGAGTTCCCGGACAAAACTTTCTCATTCTGAGGGGGTGTTAATGGCTTGTTTCGGCGCTACCTTATCTAGAAGTATTTTTTTTGGTGTTCATTATCATTATATCTCGTTTCCAAAGCTTCTTTAGCTGTGTGGTAATCGGTGAGAGCCACGATCTACGCGTTCTTTCCTCACGTCTTCCCAGTCATCCTCTGTGACTCCTCTCTTTGGTTTGAAATCCTAGTGTGGATTATCGTTTTCCCCTTTTGAATTGCCTTTCAGATCATGGCTGTTCCATTCGACATCACCAGTGGATCACATGCATCTGTCAGCAGTAAGTCTTGATATTGTAATGTTGCCCATATTATTTCACCTATTCTGTATTTTTGTCCAGTGCAGGCTAGTACCGCTGAGGCGCAGTAAATTCGAATTCCTTCTAGGCGAATCTGCTACCCATATGTCAGCCAAGGATGTCAGTACACCAGCTGTAATGTCTGTTGAAGTGAGTTTTCCCAGTTGTGTCGCACAATACCGTAAGTGCTAGAATTGCATCATTTGCGCAAGAATCTTAATGGAGAATTTGGCAACACATCATTGATATTAGCTGCTTCTATCATCTACAGCTCAGCCATTTTTGGACAAGGAACATTGGATGAAACTTGAAACAACACCATTTTCAAGTGAAAAGTATCCCATTAATTAATGATTTATATGGTATGCTCTTTCGTTTGCCTATCATTCGGTTGAGTGAATTCGAGAATGGAGTAGCCAGCAGAGAGGATAATGATAAAATCTTTTGCGTTCATCTCTCGTTTTGAGATACCCGCCCCGCTTCCGATTTCCACTCAGAATAGTAGCGTTATGAATAGGTAATGACTTACCAATGATATGCGTTGGAAAAACTGTGAATAAGTCTGCGTTTTCAGATGAGCGTGGTTCCAGTCAAAGACACAATCCATATTAGAAATGGTGTCCGAGATTTCTCCCTAGGGTGAACCTGTGACCCTCGAGAATAGCCTAAGGGGCGCTGTCGGGTCGAAAAACAGTCAAGATAGGGCATAACAAAGGCCACCAAAGCCGGCTTAGCCGACGTACACACCCAAGGCGGATGAGTTGCTAAGCGTTGTAGAAGCTGTAGAATTGCACCATTCGCACCGGGACCCATATCTTGTACGCAGGCAGCGTATTGCAGCCAGCTGTACGCAGTTACGCGCGCGTTCAAACAGCTGGTTGAAATCTCCCCTCCATGCGGCCTTTTTCGTAACTTTCACGTTCAACCCCTAATTTTACTCCTTTTTTGAAACCTTATGTTTCTCTAGATACGCCGATTTTCGCATTTTCTTCGCCACTTTTTCATTAATTTGAACAATCACTACCATTGCTCGTACAAAATTATGTAACCCAAGATTATAGTGGACTGTGGCTTAACCCGACTTTCAGGAGTATAAGGCTTAATGGGCTTCGGCGAGTATCAAGCTGAGATTCGAATCCCTACGTATGCCTGTGATCGTGCTTGGTGTTGCGATGTTAATAATTCCTCATTTCTATATTTTCCTCATTTACTTTCTTTGTAATTTTGATTTTATGGTCCGCATGAGGAATTCATAATCACGATTTCCCACCGATTACCATTCAGTCACAGCGCTTTTATTGTAATGGATTTTGCTCAGTCGTCCCTTCACCGGATCAGTTTATATTATACAATGCGTTAAATCGAACTAAATCCCACTTACACACAGCTGTCTAGAGAATTTCTGAACTTATTTTAATGCAGGGCTCTCAGCATCTGTTAAGGCTAACTTTCTGCCGTCACACGAGGGCGATTCGATGTTTGATGCCATTGTAACATATTTAAAGACAAAGGATTATCCATCTTTCATCAAGTCAACGACGGATGCGGTTGCTGCGAGAAGTGAATTCAGGTCGTTCACTACAGTTATCATCAGCAGTGCATGTTCTGATGGATTCTACCTTCAGAAGAAAATGTAGTACGTTCTTTTTGGACAAGAGTGATGAGCTGCTCCAGGGCAGAGCTGCTGGTGTTCACCGGCATGTCCTTCGTCGAGGAGAGCTCAGAACGGTCTTTCGCTTTGTACACGAAGCACTGGGACACTGTAGTGCCGATGTATGGTGAGCAGCCTATCCTCTTTGATTTCAGAAGTTTTGCTGAGGTCCTTGCAATTATCAGCAGGAGATCACTTCAAACCTCCAAAAAGGATAATAAAAAACATCAGCTTTAACTTCTTTGGCCTTCATTTAGTCAAATTCTTTTGCGTGATGGTTCATCAAGTCACTTGATTTAATCTCTTTTTTTCGGCAATGCTTTCCTATTTTTGATTTTCTTCTTGATTCCTGTTTTCGTTGTAAAGAACACCAGACTACTCTCGCCTTTCCAATCTTGCCTTTATACTTATTTCTTGTTCCTCCTTCACTCTAGCTGCAGATATGGGCAGCATTTCGCCATTACGCGCCATAGCTATGCCTTTTGCTGATTCTTTATTAGTTACCGCAATTACCCTGCTGCTTTCAAAGTTCACCAATGTGCCCTCCGAGCGCGCGTCAGAGCGTGCGTCCGACCGACGGTGTTGCTGGCTATGTGTTAACAACACTGGACGCCAATGGATCACGCGCCAGTGTATTCAACAAGTGGCTAGAGCCGCTGTTGGTCGGACGCACGCTTCTGAGAGCGCGACGCGTTTTTCGGGAGGAAGTTATGACGCCCTCTTTAGCGTCTGTAAACTGTCGCAGCGAAACTTTTTTTAATAAGTCGGAGTATTACTCAATGTACTATCCAAGGGTGAAAGGCTGTCACTTGTGTGGTTTTACAGCGTGAAAGTGGTTTCTCCGTCGTTGTGGTCAAGTGAAAATATGGACCTTACAGCTCGCGATGAGATCAAGCGTTGTGGTTGTCGAAAGCGGTGCTCTTCTTGGCGAACTGCATGTAATATGGAAACGGGTTAGTCAATGTTCAACTGTGGAGGAGAATTCTGAGTGTACGTCGAGACTTAGCTTGAGGACAGGATACTTTTGCAATGCAGTAGCCATTTGAGATGAAGTGTATACCTTCGTTGGTGTTTTCGAACACTGGTTTCGAATCCACTGTTCGAATCTGCTGAACGATTCTGAGGACAAAGTTATGGAATCGTTCCTCCCCTACATTACCACCATGTGTCCAGCTGATAACCGAATCGGACACTTACCCCACTGCACAACGGTGGCCGACAGGACGAGGATTCATAGGTATGGCATGAATGTTTTGGCGCCACTGTTACCGCGTAGAGTAACTGTGTGGTTCAGCAAGCAGTTCTACTCAGTGGTATAATGACACAGAAGGATAATAATTCCACTTTGTTTCCATTATCGTCCAATAGATTTGAAGTTTTGAGATTAGCGTTCGAAAATACCTACGAAGGTATACATTTCATCTCGAATGGCCACTGCGACCAAGTATCCCTTTGTTAATGTAATCCGTTAGCGATATGTAGCAACCAAGGCAGTAATAGCTCTTTTGCATCCGTAATTTGTAGTTCGTACGAGTCTCTCGAACAGATTGAGTAATTCTGACTATATGATGCAGCGACAGCTGTTTTATTAGCTCTGTGTGAGTTTAAATTAGTTGGATTTGCGCGAATTTTTCTTTCAAGTAGACTGTTTCGTTAGTTACTTGCTTTATGCTCATTTAGCATGTTACATTTCGCTCAAATTCATTCGAGATCCTCTTGGTGGATTTACCATCGTCCTTCGCTCAACTTCAAGAGATGTAGATTTCAATCGTTTCCAGTCCTCAACCCCTGGAGATGTTGTTGTGAGGAAAGAAAGGTAATTTTTTGATTTCCATCTAGTTCTATTCTGGAATGTTCCCAAATAGTATGTCTTCAAAATGTCTTAGAAGGAGATTCAGTACTGCGATCTAAAAGTAAGGTGAGTTTCTAATTCAGACTTCGTCAGCTGATGGATTCGAGCAAACCAAATTTTAAGTTTTTCTTGCAAACGTCTCCTAATATCATTCCCTAATTTGGTTTAGCTGTTCTGTGTGATGGAAAGCGGTTATGTCGATTTTTACAGTGACTCATACTGTCGAGCGATAGATGTATTGATTTTTAGTTGTGGAATGAAGTCTATACGCGAACATATTTCAAATAGTACAGGTTTTTGAGAACACTCCACCGAGTGTCGTGTCAAACATGAGGCAAGATCAGAACACTCTTGTCCTATGCTCTCAGAATTCAAGGTTATGCTGACAGTTTTTCTATGACCCTTACGATGTGCAATGCGGTTTCCATGTTCCAAGAGGAGCAGTCATCAAGGAGTGCAACTATTTTCGGATATTTCAAGTTTGCGGTTGAGTGTGGAGTGTAGCTATTGACAAATATCAGGTCTCTGGGAAAACAGCTCTTAATTTTCACTTCACGATGATCGCGCCTTCACCATCTTCCCTAACAATTGTCGACACGTTGATCATCGACTTGCTCAAGCGGAGTGAAGCCTCCCTCGTTTTGGCCACGAGCTAATGTAGTTCAATGGACCTTCCTTGCTTGTGAGACAAGAGCCATGCTATGACTTTTTCAAATTTTCCGTGAATAAGGGATCTATGCACAAGCGACTGTTTTGGTGTTCGTTTGTTTCGAGGGACCCATCCACTCAGTAATCGCCTCGGCGCAACAGTCAGAATGAAATTGCACGTGTCCGGTTGGCGTTTGTTTTTCTGCATGTTGCGTTCGACTGTTTGGCATAAGCAGGAGGCCCTTGGTCCTCTCCGTTGTGAGGGAGTATAAGAGAGGGTGTGTAGAAATGAGGAATGAAGAAGGATTAGCGGGATAGGAATGATAGACAATGATAGAGTATATAAATGTTTGAGTTCTATGGATAAATCATTTCACTCCCTGTTGGTTACCTGACACCGTAACTGACAATTAAAAAAGCGTTTAATCGAAGATTTTTGACCGCTACTGTAGCCAGAGCATCAGATAAGCTCCTTAGGTACTGTTACATGTCAATCCTTTCACAAGTGTCGTCTAATTCAACAGCATTCTTTTCGCCACTTCGGTGTTTTGTGTTATAAGTACTGCCTGCAGGCGCGATATCTGCAGGAGGTGGTGTAAGTAGCGAGGTCGACTTTCACTCCCATGCTTTCCTATTCCAGGACACGCACGTTTCCAAGCGGGGAACTGAAGACTTTGGGGAGATGGTAACGCCTTGTGAGACCCCTGTTTCCATGTTGAGCATGACATCCCAGTAGAATGGCGAGATCCTGGACGTTATGCTGTTGTTGAGCGCACAATGCGTCCCCATATAATAAATACAATGAGTAAGATCACCCTCGTCGCTCGAGACTTGAATTACCGTTGCTGTCTCGACAATATCAAAGACCTCCCTGAAACCGAAAATGTAAGATACAAGGTGATTCTCGCTATACTTTTTTGAGTTTTTAAAAATGCGGATATGATAATAGTATGAAAATCCAACCACACCCTGCTTGCTTTGACGGTTTTACTATCCAATTTCGGCCAGTCCAGTTCAGGACTCATGTGAGAGTCTTTAGGTTACAGACAGCATGCAGATTAGATTATAGTTGCCAGTATTATCTAAGTCTCCATTGTTGTACAGCGACATAGTCTTTCTAATTTTCCAGTACTTTGGATTCCCATAAGGACTGCTTGAGGAAAATTCTATCGGTTCTCGGCCCAGTACTCAAGAGCTCAATATATCATCGACGTGTTTCGAGCTGTGCAAGGAAAAACTAAAGGAAAGACGTATCCGTTTGGGGCTGGTAAATAGCCAGGTACACGTGGTTGGTAAAGAGGTCCGAGAACGAGGTGGATGACATTTACTATTGGTCTTTGAGATGCAGTAATTGTTTCGTAAGGGAATCGTCTCAGCAAAGACGTTCGACAAACAGGCTATATCCTCGATAACAGATTGTTCCCATAAGCACACATAGGCATAGAAATGTTTCCATTGCTTCAGGAGTTTATTTCCTCAACTTTAGAGTTCTCTCTCTGATATCAGGAAACAGTATTTAGCACAGATAGATGGTCCGATCCCGTGGAGAATTTCGGAACAACAGCTACGTTAGACAAGCGGAATTCTCGATTGAAGGTGATGGGGTCTATTTCGTTGTATAACTGTCATTTAGGTGACTTTGGGTCCATTGCGCTCGAAAGGGGTTCTGAAGCTGCGAATTACCGTTTGTGGTGTAGGCCGACATGGTGAAGAGCGATATTCTCTCAACTCGCTCAATTCACTCCTTCCCTTTACTCCCAATATTCAGCTCTCAAGCCGTTTTCTGGAGTCGATCAAAGGCACAGTTCACGATAAAAATGGTTTCTGAGTCCTCCCTCTAGGAATACCCAGTGGCTCCCAAGGGTAGCAGGAAGGACGCTGTAGAGCCCCAAAACTCAACAGCTAGGGCATAGTGGGAGCCACGATCCGGATCGCCCCGATTTTCCGCCCCTTCATTGATGTCGCGTCAGACTAGTGTCGAGGCGATGCAGATTGCAATATTCGTTCGAGGACCCACACACAGTGGCATCTTTCATAGTCCACGACCGGTCGCTAGCGACCGGTCGTGGACTATGAAAGATGCCAATCAGCTGTTCGCCGAGTGACGAGGCGATGTTTTTTTTCCTGTTCTTTCATTTTCTGTTACTCTTTTTAGTGCTGCCATCCCTTTTTTAATTTTCTATTCCAAGAAGTTAAAAAAGGTGAGCTATTTTGCCGTTACTAAAGTTTTTTTTGAACTTATGCTTGGAAGTAAATGAATTTTGCTTACCGTAGTCAGCTATTCGCACCAGAACCCACACGTACGTAAAGGCTCGTTCAAACGCCCCATTTTTCCTTATTTTCCTGGTCTCAATCTCGTCCAGCCCCCTTTTTAACTACTTTCGAAGCCTTTTTCGGCTCTGGAAACGCCGATTCACGCAGATTTTTCACCTTCATCGCACTATTTTCCATCTTATTTCCCATTTTTTGTCATAACCTGGATTACCCGAAATTATCGTGATCTAGGTCTTTAATTATGAGATGCAAGCAATTGGCAGAGCCATCGAACAAAATACACTGGTGTGCAAAACTTAGGGACGAAAGCAACTTTCGATCA